ATATATATATGTATATATATATATATATAATATTCTACTTTATAAACAACACGAAAATATATTCCATCTACGATGCACAACAAAAAATACCCTTGCATTCTATGCATTTTATATACTTAATATATATATAATATATAATATATATATAATATATAATATATATTTATATATTCATATTATATCTATATATTCATATTATATATATATTCATATTATATATATATATATATATATTATATATATTATTCAGTGTCCACAGTGCGACGCTAAGGTATCGTGAAGTTGTTGTGTGTTTAGTTGTTGCATGGATTGCGTTTGCTGACGTGTTTGTAATTTGTTTGTTTTATTTTTAAGTTTTTCTTCTGCTATTTGCTGCAGCTGAGGCAGCGCATAGCCCCTGGCTTGAGGGCGTATGATTCTTCTCGGGTGTCTCCACAGGTCCCCCCACGCTGCATTTCTTGCTTGTTTATAACCAGCTGAATATGACATGTATTTAGTAATAGCAATACGCTCATAACGATGAGGAGCTGAACAAATATCAATTAAAACATGTTTATTGCATTTAATAGGAGGTGCAACAATCCTTGGCCAGGAGAAAGAGAGAGAAGTAATATTATCTGTTTTATTGATATTTACATTTCTAGGACTTGTTTGCTTCCTTATAACAAGAAAACTATATTTCTCTCCTTCTACACTCTTACTTCGAGAACCCTTGCAATATATATGATGAGACAATCTCATTACTCTCTGATTAAAGTGACACCAATCCTGTCCGCTTAAAGCTAAAGGACATACATTTTCATGAGGGCAAGGAGATACGAAGTGAAAGGCATTTGAAGTTAATTCTGTTATAAACATCTCTCTAACTGCATGCAGTACGCGGAAGCCAGTTGCTGTACCTCTCTCTAATAATACTAATATACCGCCTCTACGCAGCCGATTCCATAGAAGGCGCACCAACGCATTACGAGGCGGCTGTCCTTCTACTGAGCGCAGCAACCCATGAGGAAGCAAGATTAAATCAAAGCCTTCATCTTCTTTATTACCTCCTAAACCCTCTTCATATAATCCTAGCTGCCACTGCACAGCTGGAGATATATCGCTCAATAAATACTTTCCTACACTCGCCAGGTGTACAGACGGCTCAACTGCCATCAACAATTCAAATATACTTTCACCTTCCCCACATGCTGCTCCTGCTGCTGCTGTTGCTGTTCCTGATGCTGCTGCTCCTGCTGCTGCTGCTAATTCTGCTGCTTCTGTTTGTATGGGCTTCGCTCTGTTCTGCTTCCTAGGCATTGCTGCTTCGTCGCCTTTGAGGAGGTCCCCATACACCGCATGAAGGGCTATTAACCCTGCTGCGAATCCAGCATTCATTTCTAATACTCTTTTAGGCTTGAAGTCTACACATCTTTGTTTAACTTCAACGAGAATACGCAGCAAAGATGCATAAACAGCAGCAAAACGATGTGCTGTCCATGCAGCAGCAGTTAAGGGGGAATACCCGCTGACCAGCTGTCTATACAGCCTATGACGTGCATCTTCTGCTGCTGCGAGGGCCTCTTGTTCTATAAGGCCTTCTGAAGGAATCAAAGAAGGTAGTAAAGAAGCAACACCAGGCAACGAGCGCAGCTGCTTCGTGTTACGCCCAAGCAGCAACGACTTGCTGCTCCCTTGCTGCTGCTGCACCTTCTCTGCTGCTGCTGCTGCAGCAGCAGCAAAACGAGAACCCTCATCCTCGTCTCCCTGCTGCTGTTGCTGCTGCTGCTGCTGCTGCTGTAGTTGTTTGCTGGCGATAGCTTCCTTAACGATTTGCTGCGCCTCCGGCAGCAGCACAGAGGGCAGCACTCTCGGGAGCTCTACAGATGTCCTTGCTGTTGTTTTTGTTGCAAGGAGCTTTCCTATCTTTTCTAAGTCTTTCTTCTTCCCTACATGCTGCAGCAGCAGCTGCAGCTTGTACACAATGCTGCGCGGGAGCCGCACTGTCTTTAAAGTGCATGCAGCCAGCGCCTCTTGGTGAAGAAAAGAAGAAACATCTGCGCGAGGAGACTCCGCCATACGATCAAACAAATACCCACGAAATACGCTGTCCACAGGCCTGTTGCTGGTGCTGCTTCTGCTGCTGCTGCTGCTTTTGCTGCTGCTCATGTTGCTGCAGCTGCCCTTGCTCCGGCTGGTACAGCTGCTACCGCTGGTGTTGCTGCTGTTACTGCTGCTGCACGCAGAAGGACAAAACGACTTGCACGAGGGCCAGGTAGGCCTGCTGCTGCTGCTGCTGCTGTTACTGCTGCTGCTGCTGTTGCTGCTGCTGCTGCTGCTTGAAGAGGTTGCGGAAGCAGCGGTGCTGGCGCCATTGCTGCCGCTTCTGATGTTTCCATCATGATCGCTACTACTTGTACTACCACTGCCTCTGCTGCTGCTGTTGCTGCTGCTAATGCTGCTGCTGCTGCTGGTTGCGAAGGCGCGAGACGTCCGCCGTTGCTGGAAAGAAGAGAGAAGTGGAATATGGGGGTGAAAAGACGAAGTAATTAAATATGAAGATTGCCTTGCATCGACGCCACTTGATGCTGCTGTCTCGTCTGCTGCTGCTGCTGCCCTTTTTGCTGCTACTGCTGCTGCTCCTATCCCTTCTGATGTTTCTGCTGTTGTCCTTTCGGTGGCATCTGCTTCTGCCGCTGCTGGTGCTGATTCATGTGCAGCAGCAGAATGCCTGACGGCGGCAGTAGGAGGGTGGCCAATACAAGAAGAAAAGAAAGGAGGGAAGTGACGGCAGCGAGGAGAAAGGAAGACAGGACCTCGGAGAGGTATCATCGGTGGCTGAAACGAAGAAAGGGTCTTTCTTTCTTCTCATTCAAACTCAGTACAGAAGAAGACTGGAAGAGAAACTCCTGTCTTCGTCGAGGAAAATGATATTAAAGAGGGCGTTTAAAGAAAGGGATTAAGTAGACATGAAGCTAATCCACGATGAATGTTCGCTTGCGGAAGGCGGCATTTGCTGAGGTGTATGTACACCTCACGAGTTGAAACTGCATTCAACTTGAATTCATTGATGATGTTGCATTTGCATGGTTTCAGCACATTTAAAAGAAAATAAGCGGAAGATTCATCTCATAGTGCCGCCTTATTTTTGTTTGTAGAGTATCTTCTCCACAAAAGAAAAGAAATATCTTTTTTTTTAATTTCGCGTTGCCTTCTCTTGAAATTGAATCGGTACGCCGATCGTGTCTGTGGGGCTGATCTGCGTGTTCTGGGACTTTTAAATTGCAAATTATTCATCAATTTCCCCCTCAAATATGAGAAATAATGCCAATAGTCTAATATGAAGGAGAAACATTCATGTAAACACTCTCCATCCGTTCACAAGACGCTGCCGACCGCGAAGAACCGAAGCTGCACGGGGGGCCCCTTCGTGCCTTGCATGCACAAATGTGGTAATTCTTATTGGTTTATTAGAAGAAATTGATTTATTTTTGTTGTTTTAAGGAGTTATCGTCGTCAAGGAGAGAGAAGAAGGAACTCTCCCCCTGCGGTTTCTTACTCTACTGTTTTGAATGTGAGGTTTCTGTGCGTTGAGGTGTCGTCTTCGCGTTTCTGTCGGATCTCCTCCAATGCATCTTCCTTTTATTTAGCTTGGTGCTTCTTCTGCTGGGGCTGGCGGCGCTCATTCAGAATGTTTCATTTCGCTGCTGCTGCTCCTGCTCCTGCTGCTGCTGCTGCTGCTCCTCCTCCTCAACCTCCTCCTACTTCTGCTGCTTCTCCGGACTTGGAGGGGTCCTCTACGTACTTCAGCAAGGGAGAGGTGCTGGCTGCTAGCGTCTCTGGAGTGACAGATACGCTGAGCCGCATGCAACGCCTTTGTTTTTCGCGCTGTTGCTGTTCATACACCCGAGCGGCCTTCAAGGAGCCCCAATTAGAAGTCTATGAAAAGGCATGCACTGACAGGTGCATCAGCAAACACATGCAGACACATGAACTTGTGGGGCTGCACCTCGCTAGATTTCATAGCCCTCTCTCTCCCCAAACAGAGACGGACGCCTCTGTAGCAGCAGCAGCACAAGCACCAGCAGCAGCAGCAGGAGGAACAGCAGAAAAAGCAGGGGACGAAGCAGCAACAAATTCTTATCAGCCGTTGTCTTTGGCGTACTTATAATTGAATAAACAAAGGCGTGAGGTGTATGTACACCGCACTGGGCGCTCATGGTGCTCCGACGACAGCTGGGGCTGGATGTGCTGCCCCCTTTGAGGGGGCGTCTGCCTCTTCGGCGTTGGGGTGTATGTGCAGCTCCTCTCAGAAGTGCAGACAATCGTTTGCAGCTCTGTGATAGAGACGCAGCGTCTGTACACCCGCCTTGTGGGGCTGGTGGTTTGTTGAGGTGTACGTACACCTCTGCTCCGTTGTCTCCACTGCATTTCTATTCGCGTTCCTGTCGTTCTTCTTCCTCCTCAAGCGCAGCAGCAGCAGCAGCAGGTGCAGCAGGTGCAGCAGGTGCAGCAGCAGCAGCAGCACCTTCTGCTGCTGCTGTTTCTATTGGGAGCAGTAGTGGTGTTTATGTAGCAGCAAGAAGAGGAGAGGTGAAGAGGAGAAATTTGCTGCAGCAGCGGCCGAGAGGAGCGCAGCAGCCGCGATTGAGGCGGGTGTATTCAATGGGGCCTGAGGAGCTGCTGCAGTGCATGCGTTTCTGCAGCAGCAAATTGCTGCTGCAGCGTTCAGTATGGGAGGCGTTTATGTATCGTGTATGTGTGCTGCGGGGGTGTCTGTCTGCTGCTCAGCTCGTGCAGGTTGTACGTATATTTGCTGCAGCAAGAAAGAGAGAGTTTTGCTTCTTATCTCTTGTCTTAGAAGCTATTCACATGCAGCAGCAAAGGCTTAGCTTTGGTGAAGGAGTGCTGCTGCTGTCAGCGCTGCAGCGGCTGCAGCTGCAAGACGAATTGCTGCTTGCTGCTCTTTATAACCGATCTCTACACTCCATCAACAGCACAACTTCCCCTCCTCTTCTTGCTCTTCTCGCCCATACGGCTGTCAAACAGCTGCAGCAGCAGCAGCAACAACAGCAGGAGCAGCTGCTGGTACAGCAGCAGCTGCTGCAGCAGCTCTTACACCGCATCTACACCTCTTTAGTAGGCCGTCTAAACACACATCACCAGCCCCAAACCTTGTCTCTTCTTCTTGCAGCATACGCGAAGTATGCATGCACTCAACTGGAGCAGCCT